TTTATACTTTAAATCAGGGCTATTTTTGGGCAGGAACGCACAGGAACGGAGTTCCGGCTGGCTCCCAAGTTGGCCACGCCCAGCAGGAACTCATTAGCATAATAGGCCACACCCAACAGCAGAAACTCATTACGATTGGCTATATTAGGGGTGTGTGGCCTAACATGCAAAGGAGTTCCTGCTACAAAAACGCCCTGGGTTTTGACAACAAACAAGGTAAACAGAATAATAAGCAAAAGGTGGGTGTGGCTGGATGAGCACACTTCTGGTAACATGGGGTTGTGGCCTAATGTGTCAATGAGCTGTGCTGTCAGGGGTGTGGCCTAATATGTTAATGAGTTTCTGTTGTTGGGTGTGGCCTATTATGCTAATGAGTTTCTGCTGGGCTTTTTCTACAAAAAGAGCCCTGCTTTAAATTGTGTCTCCACTTCTTGCCTTATATGTAATTGGGGCAGATCTGAATTTATACAGATATAACATGCCGCCATCTTGTGCTGAACCATCTGTGACTGCTGTCACAAACACTGTCCTTTTACTCAATACAGCATGGAATTTATCTAGTGTAATACTTCATATACTCGAAGGTTTATCACTTTACCCTGAAGATTTTCAACTAAGTTTCCATGAGGATCCCTGTACCCCCAACCATGAGTTCCACAACATTTTTCAGCCTTCTACCTCAAGCACTTCACATTCTCCAAGTTACAATAATTGATACTCATTTTTGCCTTTGAATTTTGTGATAGATTCCTATCTATTTACTACTTACATTTTCATTTTAAACTTGCATGAAGGGCAGGGATGTGTGCTAGGGGATTTTCTTGGGTCTGGGGATTTCCTTGGGTGCTGTGACATGATACCAAGGTTTCTCTATCAAAAAAAACACATTGAAAGCAACTATTTTATTCTCATGAGATAGTTTTAGAAATAGCAACAAAGAAAAGTTGCTGAAGATGCAGCATTTCAGAAAGATAGCTAATATTTTTAGCTAGCACAATCTGAGAAATCTCTTTATGCGATAAGAGCTTTGCTTTAAAACACTATTATCCTTTTCTAATAGTCTGTAAAGAGACAATAGCTATAGATCTTTGTATGCCTAATTATGCTTAACTATCATGGGAACTTCTGGGGGAGAAACATCTCAAATGCCCAGTATCCTTCCTGAACATCATATATCTCACTGAATAAAGTTGCTGCCCCACCTTCTGCCTGTTAGTCTTGAGAGCCATGGCCACTTCCCATCTTATAAACAAGAACAAAACCCATGTGATTCCTTTAATTGGACCAATCATATTAGCACAAAACAATGTACAAGTGAGCCGATTTGGTTGGTCCACTTGAAAGGCAATGCATGGTTTTGTTCTTGGTTTCTGGCGATTTTGTGTGGACTAATAATGGCTGTACAGCTTTTCCATATCTTATTTTTCTCCAAAATTATCACTTCATGGGAAATTGTAACTTATGAGGTGGTTTGGAAACTACTCATTCTCACCTTTTTATGCAGTCATTAAAAATATTTTTGGTTAAAGCCAGAGGCGAACATAAGCCCGAGCAAAATCAAAGTATTGTTCCGACTTTCTTTTGTATCCTCTTACATGATTTGTGAATTCATTAATTCCCACTGGGTCCCCCAGTCGTTGAGCCAGTTTGCTCAGTTCTGCTGCAGTCTGGATTCTCCTAGTTACCCTCAGCTAGCTAGACATATATATATATTCTCCCCCCCCCCCCCCCAGTTTTTTTCCTTCTACCTCTACATGGCAATCGGTTTTTAGTACCTCCAAAAAAGCCAGGCTCGCTCTCTCTGTCTCTCTCTCTCTCTCTCTCTCGCTGTCTTTTGTTAACCGCTCGGTCTGCATAGCCGCATCTGCTAGACTGAGTATGTGTAAGCAACAAATGTGTGGATCTCCAGCAGAATAGCGTGTGGTGGTGCTGCTGCTCTTGCAGCAAAGCAGGGAGGACGCGCTCGCTCCAGGCTTGCAGCGCCTGAAAGCTGTTACCAGCCTTCAGATGGTATGTGCAGAGGGAGCTGACCGACCCTTGTCTGGGGGCCCCTGGCGGTTTAAGCTCTCGGTTGCAAATAACCCCCCCCCCCCCAACAACGCATGAATGGGACACACCCATTGACGGCACCGGCACAAAGACCTCAAGGACCGCGTGAGCCCATAGAGGTGGTGCGCTCTGGAGCGGGGGAGGCGTAGCAGGGATGGGGAGCTGTGGAAATCACGAATGGCTGCTGCCGCTGCCGCAGCTGCAAAGGCAAGATGACTTAATTCCCTTGGTCTGCCCATCGACGCCTGTGTAGCCCGTCTTAAATGGCGACTCATATATGTGATTTTTTTTTTACAAAACAGATTTCTTTTTCTTCCTCTGGCCGCTTTCCTCCCTCAGACACTTAATAAAAGAGAGATTGGGGAGGGAGAGAACAGGACCAAAAATATTAAGGCCTCCCCCCCATCTGTTAATTACCATTAAGCCATGTACTGCATCTGTTTATCACCTGGTTCTCGCACCCTTTGAAGTCCCTCTGCTTCATGGTTGAGAGAGGCGAACAAATGGCCAGGGAACACGAGGCGGAAAGGATTCCTTAACTCTTCTTTTTCTCTCTCTCTCTGTGTCTGTGTCTCTCTCTCTCTCTCTCCCAGAGCACCGATATCGCCAGGGGCTTTGAAAGAGGATTGGAGCCGGAAAAGATCATCGGAGCCACAGATTCCTGTGGCGATTTAATGTTCCTAATGAAATGGTGAGTGCGCTTATCCTTTTTGTTTTTGTCACTTTTATTTTTTTTTAATGTTCTGTTTCTCAGATCCGGGAGGTTCTCCTCCTTAAACCAACCAGTTAAGCGAAATTCAGGCTCGGGCGAGATGGCTTGGTTAAATGGCCCAGGGGCAGTTCATTCTTTTCTGTGCTGCGGCTTTGTCCTCCCTCCCTCGAGTGGGGTGTTCAACCTCTGCTCGGTAAATACAGTTCACGAGGAGCCGGCGCCTTATGTATGGCTCTGCTGCTGTCTCCCGAATCCTCCTCCATGCCCCCAAATGGCGAGAGAGCGCAGGAAATCCTTCTGGAAAGGTTTTGACTTGCCTCTTGTCTTTGCTTCTGGGCTTATCTCTGCGGGAAGCCTCTCTGCGGGCAGAGAGGAGGTTAGCTGTGTGCGCTGCATATGCAGCAGCTGCCCCTCCCCCACTAAGACAAAGAGCCCTGAGCTTATCTGCCTGGCAGAGGTTATAGCACAGCTGTGTCCCAGGGAGCTTGCCTTTGCTTCCCCAATCTCTCTCTCCCCCCCCTCCCCCGCCAGGTTTCCATGCTGGGGGAGAGGTCCCTGTGGCAATGCAGCAGAGAATAAGCCTCTTGTCTTGCTTTGCTTTCTCTGATGCTGGCTGGGCTGAGATGGATGGGGCTGCTAGCAAGCAGCGTGGGGGAGGGGGACCCAGCTGCACACAGCTCTTTGGGGGAAGAGGTGGGGGGGGGGAATGCAGGGGCACGAAGATGCTGCAGTGGCTCCCCCCCCCTCATTTGCTGTGCGGCCAAATGCCATGGGTAATGAATGAATAGCACAAGGTGTGTTTTCTGGCATGTTTTGGTTGCCATGCACCACAAACCTCATGATCTCAGACTGAACTTAGCACTCCCCTTGATAAGGATGGAAGAGTTCCTTTGTAGTATATCACCTGTGTTGCAACTGCTGTTAACGGCCATATGTAGAGGCCTGGTCCCAGGTGATGCATCAAAGGGAGGCTTGGTTTATGCAGTGATTGATAGTCTCTCTGTAAGCTGGCTTGCCATTTCCTTTTGCCCTGAATGCAGACGGACAGGGAATCTGCTCATTGAAACCAAGTGCTCTGCCAATTCCAATGATGATTCTAAAATAAGTTTTGAGCATGCAGCAGGGCTCTTCACCATATTACTGTTGATTTCATTAAAAATTCCAAAATGGTTAGCCTCCATTGCCATTTTACAGGTGGGAATTGAGGCTAGGAAAATGAGCATGTCCAAGACTGAGAATCTGTACCCCAGGGCTTGTAGGTCCTCTAGGCCACAATGAGACAGGGTAAATTAACCACTTCAAAATAATGTATTATCTTCCTGGATATTGGGGTGCTGGGAGATAGTCCCTGTTATAGAACACTGCAGAAAGACTGGGAAGTTTACACTGATTTTTGACTATTCCGTATCATGTGTTAATGTTACCTTTTAAATCTTACTTGGCAGCTCACAACATTTTGTATTTGGTCAGAGAATGTATTACTTTTCTGGCTTTTTAAAAACCAGATCATTTAAAGTTTTGTGGTTCTCAGACAAAGGACAATTGTTTGCCATATAATGTATGATAGCTTGCCTTAGTGGAAGGAAGAGCCACCTTTTAAAATATTTTATTTTTCTGCCAGTTGGAGAAATATGGAATATCCTCCAATACGTCTGAGCCCAAATGACTTAAAGTAATCTAGCCTTAAAGGATTTATTTGTACTGATATTTCAATCAGCACTATCAGCGTCAATGGCCTGTTGCTGTCGTAATGAACAGAAATAAAATTTCACCCCGGAATGCAGTATGCTAATATTGGGTATTAAATATGGAAGCAAAATCCATTTTTGAGGTTTCTGTTGTTCAGGACAGAGCCGGCATAAGTGTGAGGTCTATGCAGTGGCAAGCTGTTTGAAGAGTCTTGACTCCAGAATCCTTACTTGTCGCGCTGTCTCATTAATTGCGTATGTGGAAGGGCCTGTTAATTGACTATGCCAATTAATGTTTGCTGCCTAGCGTGTTGCTAGGTAGCTGGTACCTGTAATTAGTGTGGAGTGTGCCAGGTTTGGCAGTAGGACCTATGGGGGTAAGTATTTAGATGGGTGGATGGGTCTCCATTGTGTAAGACACTCAGACGGAACCAAAGAGTTAGCCGGCGGCTTGTCTCTATTATTAGCATCAGCAGAGGACTTGGGGTGTTCTTATTTAAGATGTTAATATCAGTGGAAGTACCACCAGAAGCTGTGAGGCAGTGTGTGGAGAAGGGAATTCTTACCCTGGATTCCTGTCTCTGTTCTCTTTGCACTGTGTTGGCTGAGCTGGTTTGCCATCACATGCTTTCTTATCCACTCTTATTTTTGGTCACCCCTGTTTCACAGAAAAGAGGTCTGGTTGTAAGGCTGGGTTTGCTTGGTACTTGAGCCTTTCTTGGCATGGTTTCTTGATCCGTTGCTGTGGGTCTTTGCAGCTCACCTCGCAATTTAAAATATGCCTTAAAATGGGATGCTCTTTTGAGAAATGGGCAGCCCACCTCCAGCCTTTCAAAAGAAAATGGCACTGGAGGAAGGGGAGGGAATAGTCATGTGTGGCTCAGCAGCACTTGTAAGCACTGGGCTTGCTTATACACACCAGCCACTTTTAAAGGCAGGTGGTTGAATAAGGAAGGCTGTGGGAGTCCTGTAAAAACCCGGACTCTACAAGTAGCTCTGCAATTGCATATAGAGTGGACACTTGCAGAGACCAAAATCTGTGCAGACAAAGATCAGGGAAATTTTCTTTGGAGCCCTCTTTGCAGAAAGAATGAAAAATGTCGAATGTCTCCCCTCTCCCATCTTTCTGGAATCCTCAGAGCTCCTGGGAAGGCTGTGTGGGAGATGCTGCTTCTTTCTACTCCCCCCCCCCCCCCCCCCCCTCCTCTCCTACAGGCCCCTTGGTCTTCGATAAGAGAGGAGCAGCGGAGAGACCCCCTCCCTCTTGCAGTTGAACCTAATCTGGGACTCCATTTTAGGGATGGAGAGAAGCTGTGCAGAGGAGTACATCTTTGTGCTTCACCAATCAGCGTGCGCGCGTGTGTGTTCCTTTTTGAATGAGAACAGCAGCCAGGATGCCATGAATGTGGGATTTAGCATTTGGGAGGCCCATGAGCTAAATCATGCCTCTTGAGAGCTGCTGACCTGAACCTGCAGTTGCCAATTCAGTAGTGAAACGGAGCTGGGGAAAGAGCCTCATGTGGCACAAATATCCAACCTAAAACAAATGGCTGCTGGTAGGCAACTTTTGGGGAGGGGCCGACTGTCCCTTGTCACAGTCCGCCCCCCAAGGAAAATTAATTGCTGATCAGGGTAACTCCTAGTGTAACTGTGGCTATCCATCAATTTAAAAATCAATTGATTAAACATTCACCTTTTGACCAATTAATTGATTTGATACGTAAAGAATTGCAAGATAATTTAATAAACAAGCACGGGGGGGGGGGGGGGAGGCTTATACAGCATAAGAGTTCATGAACCAGAGCTCACTTCTTTGGAAACTGTATAATAACCAAATGCTGCTACCCAGTTTTAGAAGAAAAGACCACCTTTTCTATTTTCTTGTCCTGATACAGTAACCCTCGTACACTATGACCAAAGTAACCTTAAAAATCAACAAGCTAGAAACGTGCTGGTCAAAACTGATCTCTGCCAGTCAGCTAAAGTTCTGACCTGCCACGTAAAGCTTGCAGCCCCAGTTCAAAGTCCTGGTGGTGCAAATGAGCCCAGGTTGTCATTTCTGTGTGCGTTCGATGCCGTCCAGTGAGATGCTGTTGCTCGATATGCTAACAGGCGGTTCTCTTTGTTCCCGCTCACCCCCTGCTCCAGGAAGGACACGGATGAGGCTGACCTGGTTCTAGCCAAAGAAGCCAACGTGAAGTGCCCTCAAATCGTGATAGCGTTTTATGAAGAGAGATTGACCTGGCACGCGTACCCAGAAGACGCCGAGAACAAAGAGCGGGAGGCAGTGAAGAGCTAAAGTGACCGGGGTCCTTTGTCCATCCATAGCTGTACATATCCCACCCACCCCTCTCTTCCCCCCTCAGCCCAAACACATCCATAAAAATGTGCTTATTACTGTGTTCCGCAGGAGAAACGTTGATATTGATTGGTTTAGTTATGACATAAATGGTGTCAAGTCGCGTTACGGTTTTGCTCCAAGAGATTGACATGCTGTGTGTGCGTGTGTTCCTCCCTCCCTTCATGTCATAATCCAAAACATGGTTCTCACTTTGAAAGCCCTCTTAGAGCCTGCAGGTCCTTTTTTTTTCCTCCTCCCTGCCTGGAGGGTTCACCTTCTGCGTCACGTTGCTTTATTGCGGGTCATCCCATCCTCTTGCTCTAGGAGAGGGCTATGAAAGTGACAAGAGCTACCCGCATTGGGGGAAAAGACGCCCTCTGACTCAGCACACGGTTTGGATTGTGAGATTAAACCCCCTCCAACAGAAAACCTCCAGCCACCCTATTAGTCAAGGCGGATCCCCACGGGGCTTCTTTTTAACGGCTTAAGAACATCTTGACATCTTGCCGAGTTCAGTTCCAGGAAGCTGGAGAGCAGTTCTCACCCAGATCCCCAGTGCCGGTTTCACTTGCACCAACCCCATTCCTACCGAGTCCATTTTCTGGCTGCCAGGCAGGAGCGAGTAACCTGGAAAGGGAATCGCCAGAAAATGGTTCACTAAAAAAAAAAAAGACACCTCTTCTTCCATCTATCCCCCAACACCCCCCCAGCCTTTTCCATCTGCCATTTCCTCCTGCCATTCCCAGTATCCTTGTCTTCCGTTTTTCATTTCATGCAGTAACTGTGTATTACGTAGGTGTGAGCATTATGTGCCATCCTTAAATAATTTGTGCTGCCTGTGACTGTTCCTCAAAGGCCAAACGTTGCAGTCCCAAAATCCGATCAATTTCTGGGCTCGGCCACCATGAGAATGGGGAAGGGCTTCCTGACATATCGCAGACTTCCCTGACACAATAATCTCTGGGTGGCAGAGCCCTTCCTGTCTGGGTTCGGAGTCCTGGCATCATCTCTAAAAGAAACAGTTCTCCCTGGCTACATTTTCCACATTGTTTTTCAAAGCAAAATAACTCGGAGGAGAAGCCTCCTGTGAGAACACTGCAGGCACCTGGCCTCATCTGGCCAGATATGAGGCATCTGTCTAGCAACAGCGCAGAAGCTGCAAGAGCTATTCAGGTCTGGCATTTGTTTCCCTTTAGCTGTCGCCTGACATGTGCTTTCTCTGCACTGCTGCCATGGCACAATTCCAGTTTTAGAATCTTGGGACCGCTGGCATTAAGACATTATTCCTGGAAGTGCTTTTTTCCCTCTTGTTCCGATGGGGGGAAAGGGCCAGAGGAACAGGTCACAGAAAGCAAGTAGCTGAGCCCCCCCCCCCTCTGTATTGCCTCTTTCCCATGACAATTCCTATGCATGTTTTTTTTAAATTTCATATGGCATGTCTGTATTGTGTAGTGTAGGCGGGACACAGGGCCCTTCAGGATTTTAGTAGCTCATTAATAGTTTCATCTTCACTTTCCCTCCTTGCTGACAGACTTGCTGTAACTCTCAACAATAAAAGACAAAAGTTCGACAGTATTAATTGGTGCCAGCATCTCCCCCCCCCCTTCCCCCCCTGACTTTCTGGATGCCAGAAGGTAATTAAACACGTGGAATTCACTGCCTCTAGAAGTGATGGTGGCTACCAGTACAGACAGCTTCAAGAGGTGATTGGATAAACATATGGAGCAGAGGTCCATGAGTGGCTATTAGCCACAATGTTAGATGGAACAGTATGTCTGGGGCAGTGATGCTCGGTATTCTTAGTGCTTGGGAGGCAATAGTGGGAGGGCTTCTGGAGTTCTGGCCCCACTGGTGGACCTCCCAATAGCACCTGGCTTTGGGCCACTGTGTGACACAGAGTGTTGGCCTGGATGGGCCATTGGCCTGATCCAACCTGGCTTCTCTAATGTTCTTAAGGTTGATAAAGGGTTGTGCATGCTGATAATAGATATCATGGGAGCCAGCAGAGGGATTGATTTTAAAGTGGGCTAGATTCTGTGTTGTGGAATAGAAATGTCGCCTGTCCACATTTCCATCAGATCTGTTTCCAGGTCTGACTTCTCTTCCTCTTGTTTGTCTATGCCCTTTTCCTAGTCATGTTTCTCTTGTTTATAGCGGTAGCAGGGCAAAGGGGCATTTCTTAAAAACCTTGCTAGAAAATATCCCCATTCTGTCCAGTTGCTCGGTTCTGTTTTGTGTTATGAGTCCCAACGCTGTCAGTGGCTGCTACTTACCAGAGGTTTGGATACGGAGTGTTAACCTCTGTAGAATTTCTGCTCAGTCACCAGTGAAAACATTCTCCTCTTCAGCCTGCTTTCCCTGATTCCACTACATTTGTTTCCCAGAGCAAGAATAATTTTTCAGAGTTCCCTCTGTCTCCATCCCTGGATGGAGCCACCCACACTGGAACAGAAAGCAGTCAGAGCTGTGGATAGGTTCTCCAAAGTGGCTCCTGGCACATAACTTTGGGATCACATATTACATTTCACTTTTTAGAGGTTTAGTTGAATGTGTGCCTGACCCAAGGACATTTGTGACCAAGAAGTCAGGGATGGGCCTGAAAACAACCCCCTGCTGCCTCCTTGCCTAGTGCATGAGGAGAACACCCATGTGCTTTTTTTAGGTGTTTAAATGGGGCTGCTGAGCTGAAGCTAGTGGTGATCTTTCTAGTTTGATAGGGGCTGCTGTAGAAGGAGATGGGTGGTGGAGTCCTTTACTGGCACCAAAGGTCATCTGTGAAAGAGACAAATGCCTAGAGTTCATTCAAGGACTTGCAGGCAGCCCTACACTTTTGGTGCTTGAATAAAAGCTGCCCTGTCCACACAGAAGCACAACAGAGAAGAGGAAGTGCCCCGCCCTCTGGGTCTCTTAAGGTGCCCTGGCCCCATTTGCACGGCATTGGGCGCTACACACAGATCTGCCTCTCCTTGCAGGCCTGCTGGTGCTTGGATGCGACGGGCTCTTCTGACCTCTGACTGAGCTAGTCCTTCCGTGTTACTATCTTTCCACCCACCTTCTCTCCCTTCACATACATACTGAGCTGGGAGGCTGCGCTGAATGGGATTTGTGAGGCAAGATGGATTTAATAATTGTGCAAATAGTGTCATTCAAACGGACATTTTGACGGGTTTGGGGCTCTGTTTTTTACATGTAGCCCTCCCAAAGGGAGAAATATCCCATCCCCCTCCTTCATGTACATGCCTGCACACAACACACCATGCGTGCGCACACACACACACATTCTCAGAAAGCCAGCTTCTCTCTCCTCTAACAGTTGGAGAGGGCCAATCAATTTTTGCATTGGGTTCTTATCTGGAAAGATCAAATGTCTGGTGTTTCTTAGAGCCCCCCACCCTGCCCCATGCTGGTTTTTCTTTAATTAGCCATCCATTTGAGCAGAAGAATCCCAGAGGAGAAAATGGGGCCCCCCCGGGATTCTTCCGAGTCTCATTTGCGTACCTGAAGTCTTGAGACTTTATTCATTCCATCGGGCAATACGGAAAAGAGGTGGCGAGTGATCACCGCTTCTGATCGGGAAAAGAACTGGGTGTTTTCAGTTGTCTGTTACTTGGCTAGTAGGGTTGGGAGGGGAAGACCCAGGTTTTGTGGTGTCAGATGCAGAAAACGTAGCCTGTGAAACAGGGAAAGGCAATATGGAGAGGCCTGAAGTCTTGGAACATAACATGCTGGGCTTCTCTTTGTTTGGCCTGAGTTCCCGCTAATCTTAGCCTTGTCTGGAATGTGGGGGAAGCAGGAAGTGCGGCCCAGAGGCCGTGTGGGAGTCTGCTGCAAGGTCTATGGAGCTGGGGCTTGGGATGATTAGCAGCCTGCCCCAGGAAGCCTCTTGCTGGTGTTCTGGTCCTGCAGAATGAAGCTTGGCTTGAGACTTTCCCCGTTGTCACCAGCTTGTTTCTCTTGTCAGCCCAAGAGCAGCCGCCGCCAGCATTGTTGTCTCCAGGGCCAAATGACAGGTCAGGCCAGTGTAAGGTTGATTCCTGGAGTGGAGGAGGCTTGGGGTGTTGTTAAAACAGACCTTTCCCTTCTTTACGTTAGGGAGGAAGTAACTCCCAGACCCCTTGTCTATTTTATCTATGTTTCACAAGCTGCTGATAATACTATTTTTATCTTTTGAACCTTGAGCTGGGTGACTTCCGGTGCTCAGATGCAACTGTGCACCCACTTAAGACACAGCACAGGTAAAACTGATGGGAAATTAGCCGGTTATTGGGTAATGTCGTTGTCCAAAGGAGAGAGAGACTTTTAAAACCACCCCTACCTTGTAAGGCACATTGGTACGTCCCTTCTTCTGCAAGTCTTTGTGCTATCTTTCCTTGAAGGGGTGTGCGTTTCTAACTTGTTTGTTAATAATCTGCTCGCATCCAGTCCAGTTCTCCCTTGTGTGCACACGTGTGCGACACTTGACCAGGCGGAGAAAATTGTTAGGATAGCTAGCAAGTCATATCCACCCCACCCCCCTTTTTTGGGAGGGGAGATGCCCCATTAGTCTGAAAATGTCACCCACAACCCTTCTCCGCTGGTCAAGTGTGACAGAAGCCTGGAGGTGCTTAGAGCTCTTTGCCAAGCTGAATGTACCAGCAAAATCATGTCAGCCGGGCATACAAAAGGGCTGCTTAACAGGCCAAGATGGAGAAACGGAAAATCCCTTTCAGCCTTTTCAGTAAGCAAGATGTATAAGGGGGGAAAAAGGCATATAGTAAGTTCCTCACAAGGTTACTTGATAGTGTTTGTTAAAGGGCTTGCTTCTCCTCCCCCGCCCCCCTTCGTGGAAAGGCTGTTTTTTTATATAAGAGAGACACTTGTTCTCTTAAGTCTGCTTAAATGGCCAGATTTCTGTGTACCAAGAAAAGGGAAACGGTCTTCTTTGCTTCTCTCTCCCACCTCCATCCCCTCCCCTTCAGCTGAAGACCCCCCCCCCAGTTGTGTGTTTTCTTAGCACAGTAGAGCTAGCCAGCTGATTCAAAACATCCAGGATTTCTGAGCCATTCATGCTGCATTTCGGTGGCTTCTGATTGGATCCCACCTCCTCACTCTTTGGCTCCTGGTCTCAGTGTTTCAATGGCAAACCAGAACATATTGGTGTTTAGCTTTTTTGGTGTCTTTATGTTTTGAGGCTGTGGGGTGTACGTGTTTGGGGGAGAGGTTTGACTCTCAGATCTGGGGTATTCACCAGAGGTTTGTAACTTGTATGGGAATTTTATTTTTTTTAAAATCTGTTTAGGTCTCTTCCCCCTTTTTGAGTGAGTACCAGTTTTCTTTTTTAATTGAGTACTTCCTCTCTGAATTCATCACGGACCAAGTTCATGGCGAGACATTCAATTTGCAGGTGCGCTCTTCTGATGCAGCCCGTTCCGTAGCACGCTGTCAAGGAAAAATGAATTGTTGCCCAGAGTCGCCTAGGAGAAATAAAATACAGAGAGGAAGAATTAATTTTGTTTTAATTAAACTCATTAATTTTTTGATTAACGGTCTGCTTTTTACCTGGGGTGGCATCTAAATCTTGTTCTCAGCTGTATGAACTGTTAATGACACTCTTGTCTCCTCCCATTAATTGGAACAGTGAGAAAGGCCAGGGTGGGGGTGAGGGGCACGCGGGGGGAGATCGTGGAGCCATCCAACAGGATTTTAATTTTCTCAGATCCCATCTGTTGGAGAGGCCTTTTGTAGGAAGCAGGCTCGATTTTAGGCACAGCCCTTCACCGCAACTGTGGAGTTGGCATCCACAGCTGAATATTAGGCTGCATTATGGGTTCTCTTGCCCTATTAAAAAAGATGCTCTGGGAGGCAGGTTCACATTCAGGAGCTTTCTGTGCCTGATCTTGCATTTCCAAGAGGCAAAAGGCCCAGTTCACCAGCAGTGTCTCCACTTGGGTAAATCTGAGCCCCACAGCTACTCTCCACCCCAACCGCGTCCCGAAAAAGCCCTTTATCCATCACTCTGAAAGCAAATGCCCAGATTTCGTTCCTTCTTGAGAGCTGGTTCATGTGGCTTTCCCAATCATGGCCACCCTGCCCCCACAACCGAGCTGTGCTTTGGTCAGGCAGCTGAACTGCATAGCTTTGAGTAGTGAAGTCTCCATTCTGAAGGGTAAAACAGCTTTTGCTGATGCTGAACAGTTCAGATGACTCACAAGTGCTCGGTTGGATCCAGCAGGAGAACGAACCGGGATGTATGAGGGGCAGCTCCGAGAGAGGGCAGCTTAGATTCTGGGGATGGATGGGCCAGCGAGATAGATGCAGGTTCAATTTAAACAGCGTTAGAGTGCTATCTTGCGTTAAACGGGACTTTTCTTGGGGTGGGGTGGGGGGTGCGTCTGCTCTCCCCTCCCAAACATGCTGCCATCCACAGCAGATTGTCAATTATCGTATGTGTGTGTGAGAGTGAGTGAGCATGAGCTACCCTTTTTGGTGACATTTTAGCCAAAACCTCTGACCCCCCCCCTCTTAGCTACATTATGCTGATTTTTTAAATGTGTACAATGTTTTTAAGAACAAGATGCTGTTTGTCGTACAGTTTGACATGTTACAAACAAACCTCTCTCTTCCCTGTATTCCTCATTCCCCCCACTCTTTCATACTTCTTGTATCGGTTCAAATAAATGGTTACTTTTCAATATGGGCTGTGTTTTTTAATCTGTGTCTTTTTA